CCTCTTTTTCACTTACAGAGCTAGTTTACTGTTTTTCTTTGAAATAAGTATTCAAAAACATTTAACCCACTGATGCCTCAATTAATGTAATTTTTTTGGTATCTGTTTTTATTTTGAGCTTTACCTGTAGCTGTTGCATTTCCCACCCGAGGCATATACTTGAGTCAATAAATTTCCCCAGGTTTTTTTTGTGGTAAAATTAGGTCTCAGCTTATATTCAGATTGGCTACTACTCGAGTATATACGGTAGATGCTTTTATGCCCTTGCTTCTGAGGAAATATCTGTCAGCCTTGCATTTGAAGATGAGTAAATATGCATGGAAGTATTTTTTTTAATTATGTGGGTGTATGTATTCCATGGTAACGATGACTTTTTTTAAAAGTCTTAAAAATTGAACTGGTAAACCAGAGATTAATTTTTTTCCAAACTTAGGTGCTGCATCTATTGAAAGAAAAGGTTACTTCACTGTCTGACAACCATAAAGATGCCCTTGCTGCTGACATAGATGAAATTGTGTACACATCAACAGGTGACATCTCCATTTATTATGATGAGAAAGGTAAAGCATAGTCAAGTTTCCTTAATCCATGATTGCACATACACAGTACTCCAGGGTAGTGTCTACAGGCTGGAGAGAAAGGATTAAATACTTAAAGATCTGACCTTGAAGACCTTAGATATGTTGAGAGTTCTATATGTACTTCTATCTAGAACAGTGGTTCTCAACCTTCCTAATGCTGCGACCCTTTCATACAGTTCATGTTGTGACCCCCCAACCATAAAATTATTTTCGTTGTTGCTTTGTAACTGTCATTTTGCTACTGTTATGAATCATAATGTAAATATCTGATATGCAGGATATATTTTCATTGTTACAATTGAACATAATTAAAGCATAGTGATTAATCACAAAACCATTATGTAATTACATATTGTAAAATATTTATTTCTAATGACAAATAAATGAAAGGTCTTGAAGCATGGTGTAGCATGGGTAACAGTCATAATATAACAACAGTGAACTACATTGCCTACCTTTTTTGACAGTATGTGTAAAAAGTCAACATCAGTGCAAAAGTTGAGATAGCTTCTTTCTCACCAGATCAGCATATTTGCATGTGGGCGGACCCACCTGGAGACGGATAGAGCAGCGGTGTCTCGGTTCCTAAGACCATCTGACCATCTGACCATCTGAAATAATGTGTTTTCCAATGGTCTTAGCTGACCCCTGTGAAAGGGTCGTTTGACCCTCAAAGGGGTCTCAACCCACAGGTTGAGAACTGCTGATCTAGAACTTTACCAAAACTTCATTCACAGGAGAAAGCGATGATCATCACTGAGGTTGATGAAAACAGCCTTCCTAGAGTTTCCAATTTGAAGGGAACAATTGAGCATTTTCCGTTTCTAACTGCATGCTGTACCAACTCACTGACATCGAGTCAATTCTGACTTACAGTGACCCCAGGTGACAAGGTAGAACTGCCTCTGGGTTTCTGAGACTGACTCTTTCCAAGAGTAGAAAGCCTAGTCTCTCTCCAGCAGGTATGCAGTTTGGGATAAAACAGAGGTAAAGTCTGGTAGTAAGATTAACAAGAGAGTTCCCAATTTGGATTCATTTTGGGATAGTGTAATGGTTGGAAAGAACTTTGATAGTCATCTAATTCTTCTCTTTGTTGAACGTTTGCATTTTCCCTGTAGGATTCATGAAAATTCATTGTTGTATTCAAGTCCTCTACAAACACAATAAAATCTATGAAAGCCCAAAATGCAGCAGAGAAGCAAAACTCAAAATATTTCCCACGAAGTAGAATGACAGAAAGTGGAAACTGCCCCCGGTCAAAAGCAGAAATCTTGCCAGACCCAGAAAAAAAAGCAGCCCCTTCGAGCCCCAGCTCTCACAGGTTCACTGCATTTGAATGTCTTTTATTTTTTATTTTTTAATTGAAAGATCAGTTTATTGGGGGCTCTTATCGCTCATAACAATCAATTGTGTCAAACATAGTTGTACATATGTTGCCATCATACTTTTCTAAACATTTACTTTCTATTGAGCCCTTGGTATCAATTCCTTTTTTTCCCTCCACCCACCCCCACCTTTGTGACCCCTTGAT